CGGAGGGCCTATGAGAGTAACGCGCGCGCGCTCGGTCGTAAAAGTATATTTTATTAACGCCATTCGCAGCCGGACATATTGTAAAATATAGTCCGGCGAGTGAGGCGTAATTATGTTTTGCGATTTCACGTGAGCGAGCGACGAGCACGCAACCCCATTTCTTTCTCGTCCGGCGCGCATCTAACTGGATATTTAATCTCTTTAACATAGCCTTTCGACGCTTTATGACTCCTCCGTCCGATAAATGAGTCTTCAAACCTCAAAAGCTTAACCGGAATATCGTTCGTGTCTCTTATTATCTTAACTGAACTGCTTAAAAGATAATTGTTGCGTGTAATCGCCCCTCGTCAGTGTGCCCCCGTTTTCAATTATCCTCGTTCCACTGCCAATTACACCCACTCCTGAAATTTCTGCCGCTGAAGATTCTTATCCGCAGTACGTTTTATTATAAAAACTCATTAAATTGCGGGCATTACTGTAATTTTATTTCTAATTCCCGCTCTCTTCCAATTTAGTTTTTAATACGAAGCGTATCAGAATTTTCTCTATTTTTCGTTCGAGAGGAAAAACGGGGGAAGGATTCGCAGAAAAATTATGCGAAAGCCAAACGCCGAGTAGACGTGATTTTTTTTTTTTTTTTTTTTGCTCTCTTTTTAAACTCTCTCAGACGTGCTGCTATTTTTGCCGTTTATTTTAAAATCGCGGAGCAACGGAGAACAAATGCATGTTTAATCATTTTCGCATAAATTGCGAATCGGAAAATCAATCGGTAAGATAATTATTTAGTTCGAATAAAAGCGATACGGGAGCTAACGGACGGTTTCGTCAAATATGTTGGCACTTTGCGCAAGTCCGGAAAAAAATTATCCGGCTTGCGGCAGATATTAATTAAAAGGTAGATATAGCGTCGTTATTTTTTCAATACAATGAAACGAGTCAATCAAAGATAAGCGCGGAGAGGTGAAGGAGGGGAAGGCACAAAGAAAGAGAGAGAGAGAGAAAGAGAGGACGTCGATCCCAAACCCGATTTGGCGCTCGATCGCGCGCAATTTCTCCCGTGTCTGAAATTAATTAACCGCGGTAATTAATGACGACGTTTCTTCGAACGTAACGCGCGCGCCGTTAACATGAATAGGTTTTTTATTTATCGCGCGGTTGACGTTCCGCACGCATGCACACGCGCGCATATTGACGACGATATTCGAAGGGGGAAAAACGGAAAATGTTTTGCGCGCGATAATCCCGTAAAGCCGCCTGCGTTTGCAGGGGTGATGCAAATAACTCTCTTGGCAGGGACGCGCAATCAATCGAAATTCCGAAATGTACATCGGACAAAGACCTATGGGCGCTGTTATTATAATCTGTTAATCTTATTGTTAACATTTCCAAGCGTGAATAAGAGATTACTGTACAGCAGAGAGAGAGAGAGGGTGTGTTTGTTATTGCAAAACCATGAAAGTGTGTTTATAAATATTTGTGCATGAATTTATTACGTGAAAAAAGATTTGATTGTCGATACTGATTACACACAATACACGGCTATCTGCGCTAATTGTATAAGTATCCGTAAACAAGTAACTCATTTAACATTTCAACAAACTCCCCCGCGGGGTTCATAAATTAATGCAATTTATTAAAGTTAATTTATTAATTGTTTACAATTAATAAATTCGACGCAGTTTGCCTTGGCAATATTTGTTGACGGTCGAGCGTTTGCGTATCGGAAGTGTGAAGTTTTCTCGCATAGAACGAAATAAAATTTAATACGTGATGCCAATACAGGGTTAATCCGAATCTAAAGTTGGCATCTCTCTCCAATGATTGGCACTTATTGATTTTCTCAGCTGTTTTTGTCTACGTTTTTTTTTTTTTACTTGACATCAGGATTTTAATTTGGATTTCTCGTGACAACATTATTTTCAAGTTCTTTAGTTGATAAAAAATTGACAGGTCTTCGAAAATGCCAATCATTGGATGTTTTTAAACATAAATGTTCCATTACAAATGATATACGCGCAAATAATAATATTCAAAACGTTGCTTTAGCTTCCATTTATGATCGATTTATTGCTCGAACGCGACCGAGTTTCTGAGTTTACGCGGGCACAGATGATGTTACGGATACATCGCGTTCGCAAACGCGCATCCCTTACTTTTGTGGCGCGTATCTCTTTCTGCGCAAACACGTTGCTCTCAAGAAAAACTGCTCTGTCGTAAATAATTAATTTAAACAAATGACAAATATTTGTCTCGCGCAAACATCTTCTCCCTTCGGACGTTACGGGAGAAATGTCGTCCGGTTATCTATCTACGCGCGTGAAGGCGCAATATCGAAGTGGAGCGGAGAAGGACAGGAGACGCGCGGCGCGATGAAGGACGAGAGCGAATCACGCGTGTGTGCACGCACGCGATGGAAATTCCACACGTGGGACAATCTGCTCACGGATGACCGATCGCGTCAAATCGCGTCGCGAAAACCGCTTGACGTGGAGAACCGTCAAGCTTTATCGACTACGAAAGCTGAAACCGTCGAAAATGGCATTTCATTTTTCGCACGATCGCGGCCGTTATTGTTTTTGCCGGCCAATTTCGCGTTTCGCATTCAACGCGCGCTCGATAACCTGTCGCATAATAATTAATTATCCGCGACGTGTTTTCTAATCGGAGCATCATCGTTCGGAATCGACAATCCCATCAGCGTTTACCTGCCAATCTAACTATTTTCGCTCGCGGAAAGCATTGCGGCAACTCTCGCGAGCGGAGAACATTAGTTACGGTTGGCTGCAAGTCCCATTATTTAATTAATTTGAATAACGCACACCCAGTTCACGCAAACAGATCAAATATTTCTTCGCGCTGATTCTTGCGCATTTAATCACGACGCAAAGAAAAAACTTGTTTACGAGTATTTTAACTTAGCGGTTTTACAATTTTTCTTAGATTTTATAATGTAAAATAAAAAATAAAAAGATAAAAGCAAAAGAAGAATACTCTGTCTGAAGAAAACAGGAACTTAAAAAAAAAAAACCCAGAAGTTATTACGAAATATTTGTAAGCGGATAGTGTATTATTTCAAGCATTATTTCAAGAACAAGAAATGCAGTGTACAAGACAGCGTCGCAACAATGCTCTGCCCAAGGAACGCCGTTGAAATCTCCAGCTCGGATTGAAATTCAGCTTGAGCGCAAAGAGAGTAAAAAAAAAAAAAAAAAATCGAAGTGCTCGCCGATAAGAGCGAAAACCGCAGCTCCCGCGCGCGGGATGTGCACAAAAGCTCCTTCCATTTATAACGTTCTCTTCGCCCGCGAGCGCGCCGTGTCTCTCGAAAATAAACAAGGGTGTTTCTCCACCCGCAATCACCGATCCAATTAAATCCGATTACATTTTTCGTCGCGACGACCTCCCCGCGAGAATCCGGCGCGCGCGTGCGGAGCGCGGCGCGCGAACGCCGGTGGCGTCCCTTATCGATTCGAACGATTTTAGAGGGTGGTTTTACCCTCCGACGTTTTTGATTTCGGCTACGTGGCGGCCTCCGCGATACGAGACTCCGAGACAACGCTTCGCCGCTTCGAATTAAGGGGTGAGCCCCGAAAGTACAGTCTAACCCCCGAGATCGTTCGTGAAGAGAGACAGGACAGAGAGGAAGGGAAGAAACGAGAGAGGAGGAGAGAGAGAGAGAGAGGGAGGGAGGGAAGAGAGAAAGAAAAAGAAAAGTATAGAAAATTGGAGGGGACGAATAGACAAGAAGGGACGCGGAATCGAGCGGAATCTGGGGTTCTTCTTAGTGTTTATTTTTTATTTCTCGAAAGACTTATACGCGCGCGCGCACCCCACGATACTCGATCCCAAATTCAATAAATATGGCCCCCCCTGAAATAACGGGTGTTTGGACACACCCGACGTTTCTGGAGAGTCTCATTGGTGCAATACGAGGATATTGTCCTCCAAGATCCGCGACGAATCTCGTGAAAAGGTTCTATCTCGATACACAATACATACGTTTTCTATTGATAGCTTGTACTCTCGCATGAGGTTGTAACTATTTCCGATAAGTCGAATCCGGACAATTTACGTACATTCTGTCTACTAACTCCAAACAGATAAGTATATATTCGTGCGGTAGAATCTCTTACGTGTTGCCGCTTCTCTGAAAGTAGTTTGGTATATGCGCACGGATTTTGTTCGGACTCGACTTCTCGTAAATTCATGCAACCTTATGTGAGAAGACATTAATGGAACCGAGTGTACGTAGCATCGATACGTAATTTCGTTCGGACTCTACCCTCCTTTACCCACCGGCTATAATATATGAAACCATCAAAGTCTATATAATGCGCAACTCAGTCTCGAAAATACATTTCCGTGCATAAGCCGGAATCAAATTGCAGTTGTGCGCGTCCTGCAGTTTGAGTAATCGACATTCGAGTGTGCCCAACTCCAATTGGAGTCTATTACGCGGTGAGGAATCAACCGTCGTGCTTTTAGCAAACTGATTTACGAGCATAAATCGAAATATATGTTCAGTTCAGCAGAAAGAATTTTATAGTGGTATAAAAGCAAATTGTACATTTTTATATAGTTTAAAAAAACATTTAACATTAATTTAATTTTCTTCTTGTTTTGTCGCAATTATTATTACGTTACTATTTTATTTATTGCGATATCAAAAGTTACTTCGATGCGTATCTATAATAACGTCAGAAAATAAAATTTTATTAAAATAATTGTATTGAAAAATGGTTCTGATTAATTCCCCGAAGAAGACGGTAATACACACACAGTAATATTGCACGTCGAATATAACGATCGTAAAATATACGAGCGAGTCAAACTCTTGTTCGTATTAAAAATGATCTTTTGTCATAAACACATAAATTTACGTTGCGAACGTAACTGTTTTTTTTTTTATGTGAATTTAAATATACATGTTCAATCATTCTGAATCAAATTCGCGTATACGTTCGACACGCATTACGATCATCGGAATGTTTCACACTAACCTTTGCACTCGTTCGCGTCTCTGGCGGTGGCTCTGGCCCACGGCCGGTCGAAGTGGAAGGGTCGGCAGCGCTCGCAGTCTCTGCCGGCGGTGTTGTGCCTGCACTCGCAGACGACCTCGCCGTCCTTGCCGGGGATGCAGCGCGCCGCGTGGCCGTTGCACTTGCACCTGCCGCCCACGGCGAAGTCCGAGACCGCGTAGTGGTGGGCCATGGTGGCGGTCGCCGGGCCCAGGCCGACGTTGCCGGCCACTATCGCGCCACCGCTAGCCAGCGTGGTCGTGGTCGAGGAGATGGTGACCGGTACGAAACCCATGTCGCGCACCGCGGCGTCGACCGCGTCGTTGGACTGCATCTCCTGGGGCGCGATCACCTGGTGCACCGACGGCAACGCCGTTGGATCCGTTCGCAGTATCGGTTCTTGGAGCAATAAGTTCTTCTGGTTCTTGAGTCGTTCCTCACGCTCGCGTTCCCGCTTCGTCAGCTCTTCCAGTCCGATCGAGGCCACGTGGTGATCCTCGCCGTTCAGCGACTGGTCCGGCGGTTGCTGCGGCATGTGCAGTCGGTTGAAGACCACCCTGATGTCGGTGGCGGTCACCCAGTCCTGCAGCACCGGCGAGTTGTCGAAGTCGGCGGCGGAGGGTCGACCTTCCAGAGTGCTGAAGGCGATCCTGCCGACGGGACCTAGACCGTCCCCGCCAGTGTAACGATGGCTGTCGGTGCACCGAGCCTCCTGCTCGTTCGCCTTGGTGATGGTCGCGCGGTTCGGCCTGCCGTAGACTCTGCGGCACTGCGACGAGTAGAACTGAAACGGCTGCCAGGTCTTGCCGTAGTCCATGGACTTGTAGATCGCGATCGAGTCCGGCTTGGCTGCGCGTGGGCAGAACTGCAGGCTGACGTACGTCAGCTCGTACTTCTTGCCGAGCGAGAGGGTGAGAGTGACGTTGTCGGGCGGCGCGGAGAAGCTCTGCGAGCTGACGAGCGGTTCGCTGCGCCAGCAGGTGACGTTATTGGGATTGTTGAGATCGGTGAGGTAACTGGCGGGAAAACGGCGTCGGGGTGTGCTGTCGTCGCATACGTGGCAGTCGCCGATGCCGTTGGTACCGCCGGGCTTGTCGGTGACGTCGCAGTAACGAGTGGGACCGCCGGTGCCGCACGTGGACGACGCCTCGACGGTCGCGCCAAAAGCCGCGTTCACGAAATCCGGTATGCAGCGTCGCGGCCGGTCCTCGTCGTAGCACGGGTCGCTCGGGTTCTGCTGGCTGGAGAACATCTTCGCGTAGATCTCGCCACTGGTTGGTTGCGGGAGCAGCATTTGACCGGAAAGGATCGTCACCAGGACGATCCAGAACCGGGAAGGTCGATACGAACTCGATTTTTCCTTCATCTTGGGTGGAGAACGCGACTCCACTTTCCCCGATTGTATTTGCTCCGATGGGAGATGCGCTCTCTGCGATTGATCGTTCAGGCGACGTTCACGGCAAGTTCGTTCTTCCTCCTGCTTTATCTTCTCTCGAGACACGATTGGTCCTAGGCTCTGCTCCGCGTCATGTTGAAATCGGAGCGTTTAAATTTTCCTCAGGTCCGTCTGTCTATACTCTCTGTCACTCACTCAGCGGTTCACATTATTCTGATACTAGACAGACGTGAAACGATTGGTAATTGAATTTCGTTAAGTATGTTCTCACGAAAAAGAAACTCACTGTTCGCACTTAAACCAGACTTTTACTGTCTAAAAAGCCTTTCGCTCACTAAGTTTACTCCGAAAGTTTTTTTTTTTTTTTTCTTATTCGAAAACCAAAACCGCGCGAACAAACAAAACTCCAATCTCTCTCGCTCGCTGCGGAAAAACGCGTCTCGTCTTGAATTCGAAACGATCGAAAAAACGAGGAGAGAAATTGAATACGCTCGAGACGCTGCCCGAAAATCGACGATAAAACAACCCTACCTCCACAGCGGCTCGCCGCTAACTGAAACGCTGTTCTTGCACGGTGCGCATCCGAACTGCCGCCGAGTCCCTCTCCGGTTGCGGAACCTCCTCGCCCCGCACGACCGTCGATGTGCGTGGAACCCCCCTTTCTATCCATCTGCGTTCAGCCAACAGTGCGTCGATCTCGCTTGCACGTTCACGGGAGATCGCACGGGCCAATCGGACGGCGCGGTCACGGCCCCCCCACGCACAGTCCACCGAGAACGTGGATCCTCCGCGCGGAGGGATGCTGCGTGCGTGCCGCACGATGGACCGGAATCGGTGGACCGGCCTCGGGGGTGATTTTCTCGAGGAGAGAGAGAGAGAGAAGAGACGGGGGACACATTGCGTGATCTTCCTCTTGTTTTCTTTATTTCGCCCCGCGTTTTGGCGGCTTTAAACGTTAACCTGTTGGTTCGTTTGCGTTTGAGATTTCGCTGCCCTCGGATTGTACGGGATTCTAATTGAGCACAGAGGCGCGCGCGCGGTTTATCCAGAGAGGATAATGAATAATGAACGTTTATATATGAGAGAAATATGTACTCGGTAATTTTCGCGAGATTTATGCGTGTAAATACACGCGATTTTACGTAAAACTATCGCGCGCGATAGAAATTAAAGAGAAAGAACAAAGTTGTCTCGCGCGCGCTCTCTTTACATATATTCAAAATTATTTTACACAATTTGTACTTTGCGATACGTATATAAATGGCAAGAAGAGTTTCCTGTACGTGATCGGGATTTACGCCTGAATGTTACACACGATCCATAATGTTATGTAATGTCAATCTCTCTCTCTCTCTCTCTCTCTCTCTCTCTCTCTCGTCTTTGTACAGTGCGTAGCGCACGTACGGTGCATTAGTTTATCTTTCCCCGTTCCATCATGCCTCTCTATATACGCGGGCATAATATTGCTCGACGTAATCCGTTTCTGTTATACACAGCAATTCCACCGCCGAACATCGTCTCTACGGATTAATTTGGATAGCGCTTAATTGACATCAATATTAACGCCTTTTCTCTTTCGATCTTTGTTTAAGATATAATTAAAAACTTGCGGGAGCAATTCAAACGGAAAATTTTGTAGAAAAAAATTCTAAATCCATCGATTCAATATTATACGAGATATTTATCTCGCATAAATAATATCACTCGACTCTCTTGGGCGGAATCGATGAAGTACTTTCGGTATCGATGAAGCGATATCGAACGTCGCTCGTCAATGAGACAATGTTCATTCAAGGAATCAAGCGCCGCGAGCAGATCGTAAAGAACGCCACCCCGTCGCGCGTGTTTGCGAGAGAGGAAGATCTTCGAGGAATTTATCCGCGGATTATTTCACGGTGAATCCCCCGCGGGCGAGAGAGTTCCTCTTCCGTCGATTTCGTCGAGGAGAGAAACGGGTCCGCCTGCGTGCACGGCTTATAGAGCGAGTTTTCTGCCGCTCTATTGGTCGGCGGCGTCGAATTGGCGGTCGAAGAAGAAATGGGAAGAAAAAGAAGGACAAAAAAAAAACCACGAACGATGTTGCAGAAGAGGGAAAGAAAGCGAGAAGGAGAGAGAGAAAGAGAGAGAAAGAGAGAGAGAGAGACAAGACAAAAAAGAGGGAAGTCAACGAGGTGGGACGAGGTGAATGAAAAGAGAAGAAGAGCGACGTCACGCGAACTTCTGTTGGACCGCAACGTGGAAAGGCCTCGTTGGCTCGTCTGACTTGACAGCCCGAAATCTAGTATCGGATATGATAAATATAGGTCCTGAGAGAGAAAGAGGGAAAGAGAGAGAGAGAGAGAGAGAGAGAGAGAGAGAGAGAGAGAGGAATTAAGTCAGCCGCGGATCTCTCTCCGCGGCGTACAAAAGCCGGGATCGACCTGTGATATTCATTGTGTGATTTTTTCTTCTTGTGAATCACATGATTTCCAGCTAGCAGCTAGCTTTCTATCTTTCTTTTTCTTTTTTATCGAGCATCTATTCCAACGCACCGGGTGATAACTATACTCTCAGCACCTTTTCGATCACGGTCGATCTCGCGAAGAAACTGACGAAACAAAACTGAACCTAATATTTTATCTTGGACATTTAAATTACCGGATTTTTTTTTTTTTTTTTTGTTTCCTCGTACGCATTCGTTTTGATCGTCAGGCACGAATCGTGACACGGCGAATATCGCTTCCACCACGTTTGAAAAGCAACGTGAGGTTATTCATCACGCGTCTCCCTCTATAGTGTCCGAACCTCTCCTGTGATATCTAAACATATCCGATCTATAAAAAAAAGTGACATCTAATGTGACATTAAAGCCACGTTGGTGGAATACACAAATACTCGGTCGAGAGAGATGAAAGACGCGTGAAAAACGAAGGGTGCCAACGAGGGTTTAAGGGCGCCTCGCGGTCTGACAGAAAAGAGAGCTTATGTCTACCAAAAGACCCGTCCATCAGCTGGCAAAATATTCGAACATTTTGCACCAAAAGCACCAGTGGCACAAGAAACATAATTATAGCGTTTCGCGCAGGTGGTGGCTGGAATGCTTTTTAGCGGCGCGCTACCTCATCGCGTTAAAAGGCGCTCTTCTTTTGGCCTCTGAGCTCTCTGAGCCAAAATGCTCCGAGGAAGAAGGTTATTTAAGTTGCACGAGGCACGCGAGAGAGAAAGAGACATTGAAATAATAATGCTTAATAACAATATTACTCTGCGAAATTCGAGAATATTTCCAAGTTGAATAATTGACAGTTTTTGTTTTTGTTTTTTTTTTTTTTTTTACACGGTGACGTTGTCTTTAAAAAATTCGTGAGAAAATGCTGCGACCGAACGTTACAAGCAATTTTAACATCTCCGGCTGTAAAAAGCGACATATGTGTACGTCTGTGTGCGAGGTATCTTGGAAATAATGTGTTCTTTCTTTGACACATTTACGCTGACCTAAAACAACAAACGCGAATGTGTGTCGGGATATTTATATAATTTGTTATACAGACCCTGATATTCGATTTGGAAGATTTATTTTTTCAAATAAGAGTCGAGTTTTATAACATTATATTTATAGTCGTATTATTTATAGGACGCGCAAGAAAATAGCGCGAAGACTTATTTATGATCTCGTTCTACTATGTATATTTTATGATATTTATAAACGAGATGAATAGCGCGCGCGCGCGCGCTAGGTGTATGAGGTAGGTAGACCGCTTCGCGGTTAGTTCAAATCTGACGCACTCTGTGTCCGAGATAAAGCATATGCGCTTAACACATTGACGCTTCAAATTTGGATCACTCGACGTATCCGAACGAAGAAAATTCAAATTTGCAGTATGATCCGTAAATTTGAGTCGATAAAAATTTTTTAACATTATTCAGATTTACGTTCCGCAAACGTTTCACAAATTTTGCGCAGATTCGGAAATCGATATTCGATTGTTTCCGATAATATTCGGAAGCCTCACACGCACAAAAGACGCGCTCCTTCGCGCGATACGAATTTAGATTGTGCAAGTTGTTTACACAAGTCGTTGTTTTACGATATCGTCGCGTAAATCACGCGGTACACGCACGCTCTTTAATTTTATATAGGTTTCCCTGCCTTTAAAACTGCATGAGAAACTGCACGTAATATTTTTCATCCTTAATCGTTCACGTCGTTGGTTTAACAAACACATAAATCGCACGAAGTACACAGTTGATCCCGAAATACTGATATCGACTACACCTATCTCGCGACTTCTGTAAAAAAAAAACAACGAATCCTTTTAGAACGGTAATACGATATCTCTCGATCAATTATTCACTTAGTCCGACGACAAATGGACCGAAGGATTTTTGCGGAGCCAGAGATTGCCATCGCCTTCATCAACTATTAATTACGAGGAGAAATGGGAACTCCGTTTCTTTATAGAGCGGTTACACGTTACCACACGAAGAGTGATACGAATTATTCGTGTCTTCTCATTTTCATAAACAAACACACGTTAATAGAATAAAGAAATTCTTGAATAATTCATCCTTCCGTTTCCTTCTTTTTTATTCTCTTTTCATCTCATTTAAATAAGAACTTTGTGTATTTATGAAGTGACTTACTTCGGTACAATATAAAAATGAAATATTGATTTTGTTCGCGAGTGTGCGAAAAATACTGATATTGCCACAGGCGTTGATAACTATTCATTACGAAGTAATCGAAGCGCGCGCGACAAACAAAGCGCATCAGATTTACTAACGCTTAAATGCGCTCTTCTCGACTCACGCTAGATCATTACAAGTACGGCCTTAGGAAATTGTAATGAATATTAATGCTAATCACTTTTATATCAAGCTACCGCATAATTTGTATCGCGCTCCCAATCCCTCCCGATGACTTCTTTTTCATTCCCGCTACACACACGCATATTCCACACATCTTGCCAAATTCACATTAACACACGCTTATGAATTTAAATTTAATCTCGGTCACGTGACTACGGCGAGGTTACTGACCCCGGTCGCGTGACGCCGGCGAGGTCACTGGCCCCGGTCGCGTGACTTCGGCGAGGTCACTGACCCCGATCGCGTGACGTCGGCGAGGTCACTGACCCCGATCGCGTGACGTCGGCGAGGTCAATGACCTCGGTCGCGTGACTACGGAGAGGTCACTGACTTTGGTCACGTGATTACGGTATATGTATATATATATATATATTACTTTAGTCACGTGTTGGTTTTTTACTTTTTCCTCTCACTATTTTTTGATTGTGATTTTTATGCGTTATTTCTGACATCTCTCTAATGTTATGCTTTGTAAGATATATATACTAGCTGTCATCGCGGTGACTGGTTGTGTTCACTGACACTACACGTTAAAGTAAGAACAATGACGTGCGCGTAGCGCGTGTCTGTGTTGTGCTAGTAAATATAAATTATGTGTATCACCTATTTCTTTCTATTTGTTCATTTATTATAAATTCTTTTAGCAAAGAAAAACAAATGCTAATATATTAACAAACGCAGTTGAGTTCGAAAATCGCTCGGCATACATGTACGTACAT